CTTTTAAACTTGAACAGTGAATGCTGTCCCAATCTAATGCCACTCAGGGAAGAACAGGAACTGCAAAAATACTCATTAAATCCTCCCAGCTGTAGTTAAAAAGCAGGTTTCCAGCCCCAGGAAGCCCAGAGCAACCCTTGATAGCTTCCAACCACCTCCCCAGCCCGGCAGTCTCCATGGCAGCCCAGTTTTCTTGCCAGCACCTTTGAGGGAGCTGCCACGGATACCTAAAAAAACCCATAATAATTAGCCTCTCGCCTCTGTCTGAAAGGCTCAGCCCTGATTAAACACCCCAAATGTGCGTCTCCACACCCCTCAATGAGCACTGCCATTGCTCCCCTCCCCGGGGACCACCTGCTTCTCCCCAAAAGATGGGATGACTGGGTAGCATGGCAGCGGGGGCTGCTCCCAGGGCTCCCCCAACACCACGTCACCCTGCTCTCACCCCGGTCTCCCACAGTGGCAACCAAAAATCTCTCTCTGGCTCGTCTGCAGCCTCCCCCTAAGGCGGCTGGCGGGTCCCATCGTGATTCCCCCAGGAGCAGACGTGCCTTCCTGCAAACGGGGGAGAAACGGGAACAGGAGAACACGAAGAAGCAATGCACGCACACAACAACAACAAGGCCCCAGAAACCAGGAAGATGCAGAAAATCCCTCCTCCTCCTCCTCCTCGGCAAACACCAAACCTCAGCGCCTCAGCAGAGGGGATGAAAGGAGCAGCAGGACTGTTGCTCCTCATCCAACGTTGGATCTGCTCTCCGCAGAGCAAAATAATTAATTTGATCACTGGACCAGGGTGGGGAGGACTGAGATACCCCCCCAACACACCCCCAGGGTGGTTGCCTTAAAGCCCGGAGCACCCCAGTTCAGCATGGCAGGTGTTGGGGGGGGTGTGTGTGGATTTGCATTTAGGGAGGAAACAGTCACTCCCCGGAAGAGGGACCGAGCAGCAGGGGATGGAGGAGCCAACCTCAAGAGATGAGCCACCCAGAGATGCTGCTGGGAGAGCCAGACCACCCAACTCAAGTCCTTTTTTGTAACCACGGGGAGGTTTTTACGCAGCAGAGAGAGACTCAGAGTCTCTCTGCCCGCCCTGCCCCGGCTGCAGCTCCTGGGGGGGGAAGTCAGAGTCCCTTCCCCTTTCCAGCAGAGCGCTGCTGACGGGGCACGTCACCTCCTATGGCAGCAGACGACTCGCGGTGACTCACGGCGCCGGTCCCGGCAGGGTTTGCCAAGCGACGGGCAACCGAGGTTGGTGAAGGTCAGTGCTCTCACCGGTGTTGCCCAGCCAGAGCATCCCACCAGCAGCCACGGGTGCCAGGGAGGATGGCATCGGCAGCGTGGGAGGAGATGGGCATGGAGGCAAGCAACAGGCAGCAGCCTCCCGGGGCACAGACAACACAACAGGCCTTGCCTGCACCAAACCCCACGGGAGAGCTCTGCAGAGAAGGGCCAGCTCACCGGGAGGGCAGGTGAGCACCAGCATCCAGCCTGGTGATTTTTTTAAATTATTATTATTTTTTTTTACAGTAGAGGGAACATTCAACTACAGCCTGAACTTCAGGGTCTTCGCTTAAACCAGAAGCAAGGAATCTGGACCCAAACGTTGTCAGCTCCCAGCAGTCCCGGGCAGAGCACCAAAGTGTCACAGCCAACCAGGTCTCAACTACAGCTCCTCCAGGAAAGGGGAAGGATGCTCTTGACCATGCAGGCAAGGAATAAGGATGCTCATGCCACGAAGGAGGAGCAGCCACCCCAATCTGCATCTCAGCACCCTCGTACGGAGGCGCTGGCCGTGAGGAAAGGAGTTGTGAGGCCAAGGTCCCAGCTCCCTCCCGGGACACTGGACTGGCACCGAGCAGGGCTCCAGGGGCAGCTGCTCTCACATCCCCGCTCGCATATCGATCCGGTTACATAAATTATGCAGCACCTCTACTCCTGATTAATACTGCTAATTGAGTTGGCAGGTGAGGAGCAGGAGGGAAATGCCGTGAGGACACACAAGCCACGCACCAAGTGCCTGTGAACACCAACGCCGTGGTCTGGGGCTGTCGGCCGGGTCCTGGAGGGAGCGAGGGGAGAAAGTGGGGAGCTCCCTCCTTCCCCCCCAAAATGCGACGGTCAGGGCGGAATTTATGCGGGATCCCTGCAATCCCCCCGGGGGATGCCGAGCATCAGGGAGGGAGGGGGACGGACGTGGCCGGGGCCGACGTGGGGCTGCGGCGGAGCGGATCCTGCGCGGATTTACGGTGCTGCCGCAGCAGAAGGCGCCTTTCCGAGCGCTGTCAGGGCGGTTTATGGAGCATCAGCCCAGACAAAGGATGCAGGAGAGCCCCTCACCGGCAGCATCCCCGGAGCCAGACCCCCTCCTTCACCTCCTACGAGCACCCAAACGCTCGGAGCCTGGCTCGGCGCTCCTTCCCTCCTCCCCCC